ATCGCTATCGCGATTCATGAGGGGAGTCCGTGTAGACCTGTCATGATCCTTTGTTTTTAACACAGGTTGTAACAGTTTTAAACCGCATTTTTAAAAGCAAGCTCTCCTTGAATAATTTCAAATGGCGGCTTACAAAACTGTAGCTTTCGTGCGTTCAAAATATTATACCCTGTCTCTAAAATGGATAACCCTCTCTAACTCAGAAGCTACAAAATCACGACCCTGTTGGGCGGCACATACCCGTATAGGTATTGTATGGGAGTAACCCCCCGAGGGTAATCTGCGCCTAACGGTTTAATTAGTAAAGGGGATTAACCGTGATTGGGTAATCTGATAATCTATTGAAGTGATATCATATCACTGATGATATTGATGCCATTTACGCCTTTGCCACACTTAGTAACGTGTTATTACATTTAAGCTTAACTTGTATTACATTTACGGTTGGTCAGCTTATTACATTTAGCGTTAAATTGTATTACATTTACGGTGGGGTAAGTTATTACATTTAGGGTTGATTTTTATTACATTTTCGGTTAGTATTACATTTAGAGTTAATTTTTATTACATTTATTGTTGGTATTACATTTAGTGTTGTTATTACATTTAGCGGTGATACAATCGAACTTACCGAAAAGTTCCAGTTCGATTATGTTCGATTACCGAACCAATCGAACTCCAACCGAACGATTAAGTTCGATTGAGTTGATTGATTTTTGATTCGGTTTCGTTCGATTGACTACGCCGGGATAACAAACCAAAGTACGAACAAAATATTTGACAACGTGAGGCTGGATTTTTGTTAGATCTTTCAGCCGGTATTCTTTAACTCAGCCTGAATTTTTCCCTACAATTACCTCCATTCTACAACAGCCAGTTAATTCTGCCCTATGGTGGCCGCTTTAGAGAGGTTTACGGGTGGCCCTGTCAAAAGCAGTGCGTAATAGTGCCGGACGGAAAATAATTTAAAAAAGCTTTCGAGATTCATTAAAATAACGCTCTGCAGTAAGTGTCAATACCGGTATGTCAGAACAGTCACGGCTACAACTACTTCTCCCCATAGTTACGAGCCATACAGGCAAAATAAACGGTATCCAAGGCCACAGGGTTATAATGTCACTGTTAGAAATATAAACCTTTGCCAAGGCAGATAGAGTGAACATGTCCAAGATTTGATAACTTTGCCTTATTGGCACTTCCAAATATGACCCCCAGTTCTCGTTTTAACCTGCGAAGGTATCAAAAATATCAATAAATTGTCCAGTATGTTCGGTAATAACTGATGTTTTCAGAATTCACGCGGCTCGAGTACTATATTTCATTTTTCCGAGCATGTTAATTGGTATACAAATTGATGTCACAAGTTTTTGTGTTTGTGCACTGCGCGTTAAATATAAAGTATTGGAGCGCTGCATGGGAGAGTCTACATAGGAGCTCCTCGAGGCTAATGAGCTAATAATAGTAGTATGGGGCATGACCCTGGCATACGACCAATAACGCGGCACTGAAAAGTCAAGATGGCGGCCTGCAGGTAACGCCATGTCGATATGTTTTTGGCTGAATGCTCGGGTATAATCTGCGATCAGGCGTTTTTCAACTTTCAAAAACGTTCAAAACGCCTGATTGTAGTATAGTATCGGGCCCCTCGCCTAGATCCGCCACAACATTCACAACACAAAACAAATAGTAAATTAAGGGATGAAGCGTTTACAGGACTAACGATAAATGTACGTACGTGTTTTGCAATGTTTGATTGAAGAAAGCTATTGTGTACAAAGTTAATCTAGGTTTTAGACCGCCAGTACTGATTTGAGTCTATCTATCGTTTGAATAAACGACCATTTACTGAGTCATACATATGCTGCACTGCTTCAAGAGACAAATAATGTCTTCGCTCTCTTCAAGAAATCGCTTTTGAAAAATGTGCCGTTCCCTTTCCACGCATTCTTTTGAATGATTGGCAGATTGAAGGAGTCCCACAAGGTTATCGTAAGGCTGGTTTTCACTAGCGACGGAGTCGTAGTCAGAAGCCTAGAGTGATACGATCTAGTGAAAATCAAACCGACGGAGTCGGAAGCAGAACATCGCATCCGCTTATGACTCCGTTGCTTACGATCCAGTGAAAACTAGATTGGCGGAGTCGGAAGCAGAAGCGGAAGAGTAAACCAATCACAATGTTCCGGGCCTTGTGATTGGTTGGTTC